GCTAATTAGCCCGTGTGTACAGGGTAAGTTATGTGTGCAGGGTGTTTTGGGTCACTGGGCCGCCTAGGGTCACCAGGGTCATATTTCATCCAAATAATATGCTTCTTTGTGAGTAGGAGTCATTCAATAGCCTGAGTTCGCCAGACAAGTTCATTTTTCGATGTGACCTTTCGCCTTTTAGGTGATTTTTTAAGGTTAGACCCGGAGGATCCGGGCTTCGACTAGTAATTATTATGCAAGGAATTGCAGCAGCACTACTGGCATCGTCTGATGTAGATCATTGGATTGTAGTTGGTAGCAAAAAAAGTTATATATAAAAATCCACATTTCCGAGATGGAAGAATACTATTCTCTTTCCAGAGAACATTCTGAACCGTTTTTCTCCTCCATTTCGTGCAGACAACAATCCTATCTTGGATATCCCACGTGAATTCTTCATGGACATGGGGAACTTGGAAGATTTTGATTGTGGCTATTGCGGATTAGGTCCAACTCTGCTGAACGGCTCCATGGAATTCCACAGTCCAGCATTAAAATTCATATATTTAAACGACAACGGGATCTCAAGGATGGAATCTCATGCTATTACAGGTATGATTCCACTAAGATATTGCCAATGTGATTTCATTTTCTTGATATGTTGACATACTTAATTTTACACATATTAATGCAAGCCGAGGCAAAACTCGGGGAAATTAGGAGTTTCGGGGAATTTAATTTTAATTTCGAACTACCCTTTTTACTCTAACCCACAGTTCTCGACAGCTCTTGCTTTGATGGTAGCAGCTTAATGAACACTAGTTCATGAAGTGAGCCGATACTGCTGTTTGGTCAGCTTCTTGTTGACTATTTTTTTGCATGGAGAACATTGCCGGTCGCTCGAAATTTCGCTATAAAATCGGAAATGCAGTGAATCGACAGTCTTTACCTTTTTGGGTGTCTATCATGATATTGATTCTATTGATTCAATAGTTAGCCGAAACGTGTTATTTATTTTTCTGTATTCCAACTCCATTCGCATTTCGGTTTAATCACGAATGTTAGGTTATTTAGCAACACTAAGTCATTCATCACTTTCAAATGCCGTCTGTCAAGTTATGTGGTATTTTGCATGCATGCATTGATGTCACCAACATTAACATACCTTTTCCAGGTGAGTAACGGTCGTTCATTTCCAGCCAATATCAGTGGGCGCAGCGAAAGCACTCTTCACTGGACTTGCGGATATTGCATACCAGTTTGATGACAAAGCGAAATGGAAATATACTGTCATCAAGCATTCCTTTGAAAATTGAATTCCTACAAAAATTCTTAGGCTCCCTAACTTTTGTCTTACCGTGTATACATTTTAGATTGGAGGGTAATTCAGCTTTTCCCTTATTCATTTCAGGATTCACAGCGGACACGCAAATATATCTATGGGGAAACAATTCGACACATTATCAGAAACGTCCTTCCGTCCCATGGTAGAGGCCCTCTCTCACGGGGATGGGTACTTGGATGTGGGACGTAAGTGGTCTAGAGGCTCATATGCTATTACTTGAGATATAGCGTTCAACACCAAGTCCCCTTCTATTATCCGTATGCCAGATGGAATCATGTGTGACTGTAGCATTGCATGGTTCGTACTCACTCCTGAGTTACGAGGAAGCGTCAAAGGTTACTGCCCAGACCACACACGGTTTGATGAGCTGCACCCAGAGGACTTTCAAGACTGCATCATGAAGGATCCTACAGCCGAATCTTCCACCTGGATCACTTCCGATCAGAAATATTGAGTACTAGCAGAGGCCATATTGAAACCTTCAAGACATGTGCAGGGCACTAGTTAGTTTTCGCTTGGGTTAACAATTGGCCTGGTAGCAAACCCCTTCGTGTGGGATATATGTTACGTAGAATAGAAGAAAAAATCCGGTGATTACGTACGGATGTTTTATTTATGAGGAAAATGTTTCACAAGCGCGCACACACATATATATACAGGGTGGCTCAAAAAAACCAAGCTATTAACTTCAACATGCTGTAGATCAGGCTGTTTGGCCTTCATTTGAAGGGTCTTTTAGGCACACATTTAACAACTCTTTTGCAGCATATATGAAATTTCATGTTATGATATCACACATTTTCGTTTCATCCTGGTGAAAATGGCCGCCTATTCGGTTAAAAGGTTCAGACCAGAAAAAGAATTGGAAAAAAAAACTCTGAAAAAGTCGAAATGCTCGTATTGAGTGAAGAGGATCAGCACGGAAGCTAAACTTATAGGGGTGAGAGGGAGTAATTTTGCAAGAGAGCGCTTTTCATTTTTCAGGTTGGAAATTAAGGGTAGAGCATACCCTTACCCCGCAACCTCTTGTGAGGAATGACATCGAAAGCTTTCGCCAAGTCTAAATAGACGATGTTTACGGGATTCCCCTCATCTCTTTTTTCCGTCGCGAAATCGTAGAATTCGAGCAAGTCGGTGAAGCAATTACGACGCCTCCTAAAGCCGTGCTTTGAGTCCCGGATGAGCGCGTTTCATTCGAGGAAATGCACAATGTGGTCCCTTAGGATGCTCTCAATCATCTTCTGCGGGATACTCACGAGACTAACCCGCCTGTAACTCCGAGGATTAATCATTTCACCCTTCTTAAAAATCGGTACGACGTTCTCGGGCTTCCAGTCCTTAGGTACTTCACCGCCCGAAAAGCTGCTTTCAAATATGATTCTGGGGAATTCTGATATCAAATAAATCGGATATTCAACCTGAACATAAACATTCAACGGCGTTGCCTTCCGGATCACCATGCGATAGAATATCAAATTGACACACTCCTTCAACGTCGGGGGTAAACACCGCGCCTTTCCACCTGCCAAATCACCCAGAAAGTAAACAAACCTTTAATAGTTTTTATTCCGTTCGCTCGCCCGAGTTTATTGGGGCAAACGCACCAGCCGAGTCTATTTCCCCTAGTTGATCGAAGCGAGAGGAAGAGAGAGGAGCAGGAAGAGCAGGGCAATACGGGCAATTGGCAAGCCCCTCAAGACTTAGGTGAGTGACCTTGTACCTCTCGCAGCTTTTTACATGTTTGTTACAGTTTCAACTTAATTCGTGAGCTGAGATTTGCGTTGTCGCATCAAATTATTGTCGAGATACCGCACGAAACGTTTCTAGGATCAAAAATTCCAATATGAGCATGTCGAAACGTTTTCTGGACCGGTCTAAGAGTCTCACCAAGCGGGCAGAAAATCATCGGTCCACATCGTCGAATTCACGAGCAAAAAATCGTCATTGGGAAACATTTCCATGTCCCTTACGTTGATATGGAATGGGCAATTGCAGGATGGGAATAGATACTTACCCTTTAGGCAGTTGGTTTGGATTTGACGCTCGAGTCAAAGACGACGTCACTTCGGGGAAACCCTCTTGAATGCGTTTTTTCATCTATTTCGTCACTCGGGAAGCTCCCTTAATCTCCCTTTTTCTCTCTCCGAACCAGTATGCAGTGACTACTCCTCGATTCCTTCACTGGCAGCTGCAACCTTTCACATCCGCGACGGAGAGAACTAAGGAACAGTCTCGATTCGGCGCTCATCCACTCCTGACCTCCATCCGCGCCTGTCCTCACACGCCTTCAGGATGAACGAACCCTCCACATTCCTCTTTCCGCTCTTCTTTCTCCTTGCTTCCATTCCCAGCTTGACCGGGCAGAACCTGTGCCCCGACCCTGGTGACATCCTCCCCTGCACCTGCGCCGGAGCCGACGCGAGTAGAGTGATCGTGGACTGCTCCGCGGCCGCGTCGGGTGATCAGATTTACTCCGCCTTCAATGACGCGGTTTGGCCTCTCACCGACCTTGCGTGAGTGAGAACCCTCGTTGCATGAGATCATGTTGCTCATTCACATCATTTTGTTCCCTACTTAGTATTCTGGCATCGAATAGACTCAGCAAGAGATATTTTCCATGAAAGAAAATCGTTACGCATTAATTTGCTGACGGGAGGGAGGTTCATCAGTCGCTCTTTCACACAACATATTTTTCCACAATTCCCGTCATTCACAATTCATTTCAAAATGCCAAAACTTGATCATATGGCATTTTCTATGGATTGCCCAAAATTCACATCCAGTCCTGTATTATTACTGAACTGGGTGGTACTGATAAATCCATAATTCCTAATACAGGGTGACAAATAATGGACGCTCCCAAAATAAAAATTTATTTCTCGAATTCTACAATAGTTAGGAAGAAAATTCAAATGGTATTGTGAACTTAAACTTAGGGAGATTATGTCATGACATGCTCGATGTGGGTACCCTTCTTTGCAATCATGCGATGCAGTCGAACAACGAAATTCCGAACGACAGCTTCGAGGGTGTCATTGGAAATGTTTTCAATTTCAATCTGGATGGCTTCCTTGAGCTCCTCGATG